ATAGTATCTTATAACTTTTGGATATGATCTTAAGTATTTTCACAATAAGGAAGAATAAAAATTTTCACTAATGAGTTTCTAACTCTAAGGGGAAGTCTAAGACTGGCATTTTCTTATCACTTTTTTCCCAATAACCAATTAGGAAAAATCAATGCAATCTATTTTTAAAACTCAGTTTCTGGATTGTAGCTACCACAATTGCAGATGTTTTTAGAGTTTTATGATTTTTTCACATTTCAGTGTAAAATTTTCTGCATATAGGAAAACAGAAATGTCCCTTTTTAAATTCTTTAACCAAAGAAATGTTGCAATTAGTGAAAAGGGCACCCTCTTCTTAGTCTCAAGTTAATTTTGCTTCAAGAATGTAAGAAAATGAAATGAAATGAAATGAAATTAAACATTTTTCTAAAAATTAGTATGTTTAAGGTCTAAAACACAAAGTCTAGAAAAAGAAAACTTCATTAAATACCAAACTTGTGTCCAGTCCAGGACTAGAGGGCCTTTCACCTGTTATTTCAGGTCTTACCAATACTTGAGTCACCTTGGACTAAAGAAGGTGGCAGTTAGGAGACACACTCTCAAATCTGCACACTGGTATAACTGACACAAAAACTCTACCTTGGATGCCTACAAATCTGTAGCTTAACTCGGACTATCTTTTCTCCATTATTTCTTGATTCTCTACTGAGAGTCAGTTCTCCTTATAAAAGCCTCACCCAGATCCTCATCCGGAGTAGAGATTTTGATCGTTTGTCTGGTTCTTGCCACTCTCATTGCAACAGGAGCTGTTCCTCAGACACCTAACACAACCCCAGTAAAACCTAAACAACCTGCAGCAATGCTGAAGTCTAGCCCCGCCCACGCACCTCTGTTGATTTCCTTTTCTGCCAGTCAGTTGCTACACTTCTGCCATGTATAGTGGCCAAGTCTGCAAACAGACCAAACCCCAACACAAAGATGCCTTTAAGAATATGTGTTAGAAGAGTTTTCTTAATACTCTGAACATATTAATGTATTTTTTAAAATAAATGTGTTCTCAGAGGTAGATACAAGGGTGCTCTTTCTCACAGAAAGCAAATGAAGTTAATAGACTCAGTATTCTCTGTTTTTGTTTAAGCAAGTGAGGCCAAGATCTACAAGCCCTTCCCAAAAGCAGGTCACTGGGGTGTTTAAGGATAGTAGGTTTCACCTGCAAACTCCTGCTGAAAGACATCTTAATTAAAACTCATCTTTGTTTTTTTTGTTGTTTCAATAAAAAATTAAGGGAAATGAACACCCACTGGCATTCCAAATGAGTTAATAGACATGGTGACTGAATGCCCTAATTAGATTAATATCCAAAATTTCAATTGTTTATCTTTTTACAATCCAACACACACACACATATACACAAACACAGTGTGAAAAATATATGTATCTTGTGATCAGAACCTTCAAAGTATATATAGTCCAGCTTAAACACGGAAAACTTTAGGTGTTATTTTATATATAAATACTTTTATTAAAATATCATATACTTACAAAAAGTCATATAAATTATAAAAGCTTAATGAATTATTACAAAATGAAAACATCTGTTCATTTGCCTCCAGAACAAGAAATAATATATTAAAGTAACACTGAAAGAATCCCCTAGGACCTCTCCTATCCACTATCCTCTTTCCCAAGGTAAGCTTCCCTAATTCCTATGTAACAGATTGATTTTGCCTGTTTTTGAACAGTATATAAGTGGAATCACATGGTATATATGGCTTTGTGTCTCTTCTTCATCCTAACATTATATTTGTAAGACTTACCCACATTGTTTCATTTAGAAGTTTGTTCATTTACATTGTGGAATACTCCGTTGTTTAAATAAAGCACTTTATCCATTCAACTGTTTACAAACTATTTTTCTAGATTTTAGTAATTAACTCACTAGCTATGAAGATTTTATACATATATTTTGGTCCATATATATTTCCTTTTCTATTGGGATCATGCTTAAGAGTAGAGTTTCTAGGCCATAGGACTTGAATTTTTTCAACTTTATGAAATACTGCCAAATATTATTTGAAAGTGCTTATACAATCTGAAACTCACCAGTGTTATGAGAATCTTATTGCTCCATATTTTATTTAACACATGGAATTCTCATCCTATTTAATTTTAGCAATTCTGAGGATAGAGTACATGATATTTTTATTTGCTTTTGCCCAAAAACTAAAATGAATCATTTCATACTTTTTTTTAATGTTTGGATATTCCTTTTTTGTAGAGCCTGTTAAATACTGTCATCCATTTTTCTATTGGGTTGTCTATTCTGTCTTTTAGTTTTCTTTACGTCTGGATTTGAGTTCTTGGTAGTTATATTTATTGCCAATATCTCCTCCCTTGTCTTTAATTTTCTTATTTGTGTCTATTAATAGAGGGCTTATACTTTTAATGTAATATAATTTAAGAGTCATTTACTTTACAACTCATGCTTTTTATATCCTGTTGAGGGACTACTTTTTTCCTTATCATGAAGATATTCTTTCATATCATCTTTTTGGAAACTTTGCTGTAATCGTTTAAGTAGATGTGAGGTAAAAGTTAAGAGGCATGTTCCCCATAGTATTCATTTGTTTTTTGTTTTTTTTAAGAATATGCTTTCCATTTCTGCTAGAGTTGCACCTTAGTCATAAACCAACTACCACATATGTGTGGATCTCTTCCTGAACTCCTAATCTTTTCTGTTTGCCATTCCTTTTTGCAGTAACATGATGCTGCATTTATTACTCTGTTGTGGTCATTTTGGTATGTGGTCAAGCAAGTCTTCCTAATTTGCCCTCTTCAGGATAATTTTGTCTATTTTTCCCACTTTTAATGTATTTAATTAGCTTTTTCACTTTCTCTGAGAAAAAGAGTTTGGAATTTTAAGTGATACTGGAGTAAATCCATTTACCACTTTAAGGAGAGTTGATATCTTTAAAACACCAATCCTTTCAATTTATTAACATTGTATATCCCACATTCAATTTAGGTCTTCTTTAATTTTCTTCCTTATATTATCACCCCCATTTTTTCCTTCATTACTTATTGTACTAACTATAACAAATGTAATGATGAATAGAAGTGCAAAAGTGGTCATTCTTATTTCCTGATGACAAAGGAAAGCTTTTACCATTTCACCATTAATTATGATATTTCTTTTTTTTTTTGGAAAATATCAACTATTTATTGGGCAATGTGCCAAGCACTATTCAACATGTTACATACATTATCTCAACTGTTTCTCATGGAGGCCCTATGAGGTAAGTATTTGTCCACATCTTACAGAGAATACAACAGTTTCAGAAAAATAAGTCACTTGCCCGTGATCACACTACTGGGGAAAAGCCAAACCATAATATGATCATAATCTGTCTCATACACCAGGACAACCTGACAGGAATAAAACTTATCTCCGTGAATGCGAGACCCATGTTTTCAAAGAGAAGCAGAATTACCTCATTTTATAATCACATACAGTATTAATGTCATCACTGTCTGAAAAAAGGTATCTCTAAATAATTCTTCAAGTTTACTGATTCTGCTAAAATGTCTTCACAAATTGCATTCTCAGTGACGCTACCCAACAAAACACTCAGTGAAATGGGACTTTATCTCCACTTAGTGCAAATGATATTCCTAGGGCTTCAGCGTACAGCTATCCCCTGCATAGAATATATGTAACAATATTAGGTTCAAGGTTATCACTGTAATACCAAAACACAGGAAACAACCTAAACGTTCATCAGTAACAGATTAAATAAATTATGACATATTCTTTTGATAGACTCTAACACAGCCAAAAAAGGAAAGAGGTTCATTGTTCCTCACATATTGATATGGAATGAACTCCATTAAAAAAAGGTCCAGGGTAAACTCTACATATAGTTTGTTATCATTAGTATGAAAAACCCTTATGCAAACTTGTTTAGTTAGGCACAGAATCTTTCTCAAAGTAAACAGTAAACTGGTGACAATGCCTGCCTCCAGGAAGACTAGGAGCTGGAGGGCAGGAGGGGGAGAGGCCCTTTATTCTAAATCAGTTTTCCGTCTTGTTCCAGGGGAAAAATAATATATTGGTTTATTTTAATTTAAAAAATTATGTATAAAAATGTATATGGACTGACTATACATTTGACATATTATGAAGGCAATTTCTGACTACAGAAAAAAAACAGTTTTCTTACAAGAATCACTAAGGTTCTAATGTAAACACATTTTTTAATGTGAAAATGCATAAAACTTCCTTTACAGACATCTTATTATTATTCCATCATGTAATGTCAAATGCACCTGTAATCCCTTAAAGTAAGTATGATTCCTTTGAGGGAAAAGAGCCAGATCAAATACATCATCAAAGGAAAACATGCCTACTAGACTATGAAGTCTACTGAGGACAAAGGCCTTTATTTTATATATTCTTTCGACTCCCCAGTTCCTGACAGGGTTTTCAAAATACAGTTTCTCAGTTACTAAACAGCAAACTGATTTACTGGTTAAATCAGCAACTATGAAACTGCCTGACACCAGTATGGAATAAATGGATAATTCAGCAGAAACTAGCTTTCAGATTTTAATTTTAATTACTGTAAAACAATGTAATTTAGTACCAAATGTTTAAATAGCCATTACAATTGCTAAACTGTGAAATTAGCATTATTAATTCTGATAGGCTATGTAAAACTCATCAATTTTTCTTTTGAAAAAAGGCAGTAAGAAATCCCAAAGAATACGGGAGAGACTAGTAATTAAAGGTCATGTTTACTCATCTAGCACCACCATACTAGTCCAGGACCTCCCAAGCAGCAAGAAGAGGAAGGGAAGAGGGGAGGATGCTCAAAAAGCAAGGTTAGTTCTGAACTTATGGTGCCATTTGTGTTCCAAGGCAATACAGGGTTTAGCAAAGAAGTAAATCGCTGAGGCTGGAGAGTAAAACCAAAGCTTTGGTTCAGATGGCAAAGGAGGCCCTCAAGAACAGTAGAATCAGTATATCCAGAAGTCAGGGCTGGAGTCAGCCTTATGAACTAGGGGGTTTCTTAGCGTCCAAGTCCTTTTTAATTTCTTCAAGTTTTTTAGCCAGGTTTGGTATGTCATAGTTTTGAGCCAAATACATTCCAACCAGGCTGCCAAAAGTAAATCCAAGCAAGAACTGGAGCATGTTGTCGACAAGAGGGAACGAAGGGTGTCACCACCATGGGCCGGTCCCAGCCTGCCTCTGCAGGGGCGGGGGGCGGAGCCCGCCGTCGACTTCCGGGGCACCCCCCCCCCCCAGCCCCAGCCGTGCCTCACCCCGCCCCAGCCAAACGTCGTCCAGAAGCCCCTCGTGGCGCCCGGGCGCCCCCTTCTAATTATGATATTTCTTGTCATTGTTTTTTAAATACCCTTTACTAGGTCAAGAAAGATGTTTTATTTCCTGGCTTGCTGATATTATATTACAGAGGTGATGATAATGATGATAGTGTCCATTAAGTTTTGTCAAATGTTTTTTATGAAAATATTTTTCAGAAATTTTTCTTTCTTAATCACTGACACATCTTTTAGTTACTTTTTATTTTCAAAACTTTATCACAATATTCTCTTACAACATAATTCATAGTGATTTATTCTTATCTTAATATATAAACACACCATTTTCTGTTTAACCAATTTTTTGAAGTTTAGATTGACTCAATATTTTTAATGACACAAAATCACTACTACCAGTATCCAGTTCTATATAATTTAGCCCACCTTAATGTTTTCATTAAAAAAGTTCTTGATATAGACATATTCAGTCAAAACATATGTACTTTGAATTCTTTAAATAAATATGGCCAAACTTCTCTTAATAATAATTATATTAACTTATCCTTCAGCCAGTAGTATCTGAATCTATTCCTTCTCTTTACACTAATTACTGAATTTAAATATATATTTTTTCAGCATGCTATGTGAAATTGGTATCTCATTCTAATTTTCATTTCACAATAAGCTGGAAAAAAAAGATAGCTTACAACTCTTCAGTTCTATTAATATTAAAATTTGGTTCATGAAAGATAAATCTGTAAAATAGGAAATAGAATAGATTATTGCTTTGACCTAGAGTGGGTGATAACCTCACTATAAAAAAGTTCTAATCATCAAATACTTTGAAATCAAAATTCTCTCATTTCATGAATGATTATACAGTATGTGAGCTGTATAGGTTTTTGTTTGCCCTATTTATTTATTTATTTATTTATTTATACACTCTTGAGCATGCAAGTTCAGTATGTGATGACAAAAATGGAAATGATCTAGCATCCTCCTCCTTATGTGTATTTTCATCTGGTTCACTAACCAAGAAATCTTGTTAAGCCCACAAATTTATAACATTTTGTTTCTTGTAGTATAACAGGCGAAACATTTTTTATGTATATATATTTTTTTATTTTTTTGCTTTTTCATTTTTATTTTTTAAAAACTTTAAAATCTTTAACTCAACAGATTCTCAAATTCCAAAACACTATATTTTTATTGTAAAGAATACCACTCCCACTTATCACATCATACCTGTCTTGTATTTCCCTCCTTACAGAGAGCAGCTCACCTTTGCATTTCTCCACATCTTTATCTTTCCAGGTTATAACTGATGCTTCTGTTTTAATTGTTATTATTAAAGTACCATTGACATACAGTGTATGATGGTTCAAACACACAGCACAGTGGTTCAACATTCACCCATAAAAATAATGCTTCCTTATATCTCAGTTAATCGTGGAGTCCACACATCTCCACCATTTGTGTTAACTTCTTTTACAAAAAGTTGAGGATAATTAGAGTTGCATTAAGTTGGATTGATCAATATATAGCATTTTTATAGACAATATGGGAAATACTTGTGTGCTTTACAAACATCCTTTTGCATGCTTTACTTATTAGTATTATCACATAATATTATTAGTATTCCTTTCTTAGTATTATCACGAATCTATCTTTTTTAAAATGGTCTCAACTATTCCAGTGCATTAGGGTTGTTGCTAGTTTTATTTTCTGATGCTTGAGTCTCGCTCTTTGCCCAGTGAGAGACTTCTTCAGATGGGCCTCTTTTTTAATGCTCATTAAGTCTTCCTTGTGAGACTTTTCTGCAGGTCTTCTTATCCTTTGTACCCCCAGTCAGCATTTTCACTTCTGTAAATGGCAAGATGTTCCAGGCTCATCTTGCTTTCTCCTGCCCCAAGACTTGGTACCCGCTACCCTCCAAGGAGCCCTGCTTCCTTTTAATGGAGGATAGTTTAAGGAGCCAAAATCTGGGCGCTAGGGTACAGCACAGAGTTTTCTCTTAATGCTACTGGTAATGGGTAAGGTGATATTAGAGGCTGTTCAGGCTATTGCAGTGACAGAGCAAGAGGCTTCCAGGGCAAGAGCACATATAGTCAATTTATTTTTTCTTAAAGTAAAGTATAGTTGATATACAAGATTATGTTGGTTTCGAGTATACAGCATAGTGACCTGACAATTTTCCCAAAATCCTTTTCACCACTCGGGATTGCCATACCACGCTATATATTGTCATAGACAATTTATGCACTCAGATTTCACTGCTGATGAATGTTTGGAAGCCTCCATTTCCTTTCTCTTCTTCTTTTGGTGTTCTATCTTGTCATACCCAACTCATGCATTCAAATTCCATTGCTGGTGAATGTTCAGAAGCTTCCATTTCCTCCTTCTTTTTGCTCCTTCACCCATGGATCCCCGAATTTTCTCCAAATTGTTAAAGTCCAAATGCTCCTCTCTGCCAGAATAATCTATATTTTTACTTGAAAAGGAAAATAAATGCCAATCTACCTCCAGTTACCCATTGTCAGATTTAGCAAATAAAAATACATGCAATAGTTGGTACATACTTACACTAAAACAAAAGCTGTTGTTTATCTGAAATTCCAGTGTAACCAGACATCCTGTGTTTTCTCTGGCAATCCTACTTCTAATGGACAAGTAGAGAATCTAAAAGCATGGGTCATCTTGGATCACAGACCGAATCCCCTAACACTCTTTAGTGCATGGAAATTGAAAGGAAAATTTGAAAACTACTGGCTTTTAAGGCTCTTCTTAAAATTTTCCTAATTTTCATTTTTATAGGCCTAAATGCAACCCTCCATTTCATCAAGTTCCTTCTTTTGAGCACAGGTCTTTCTCCCATTATAATGGTTTTATTGGTGCTATTCTATTCTAATTGTTGCCCCACATACAATTTTGAGTAGTGACCATAAGTCCATTTAATCCATTACCAGAGTGTTTCATTACCTTAAAATCCCTCAAAGCAACCTAAAATGTCAGAAAATACAAAGCATTTATATCAAGAATCAATAGAAAAACTGTTTTACTATTACAACTTTTAAACTTCCCAAGTAGTAAATCCATGTGGATTCATTTCTATAGGTTCTTCTGAATTTTCACAATATTGATGTCTTATGCACAAATGGTATTACAGTAGGTTCTAATTACTATTACACATTCACCTTACATTAAGAACTTCCTGAAAACAACAGAACAATTGGAGATATTTTTTTACATATTTTGAAGGTTGTGGTTCAGTATTACAATAACTGCAGAGGATTCAGAAAGTTATTGCCACAGAAAAGTTTAGTGCAAATGTCCGAATCTTTGCATGGATTACAATACACCATGCTTGTTTTCCCAATTTAGCTGTCTGTGGTCATTGCACAGCCACCACAGAGTTGAAATGTACTCAGAAAACATTTTTTTGAATTTGCCAAGTAAAATTCCCTCCTCTCAATTTTTACCATTTTAATTAGGAGCATCAAATTAAAATTCCAAGGCAGGGGGGAAGTGAATATACACACACATACTTGAAAAAGATGTATGTATACATACATATATGTACACACATATACATACATACACTATTTCTGGTATTAAGATCAAGTTGCACTTGATAAAAATTTCTCATCTTTAAAGATTACACAAAAGAAATGAAATAATTTAAAAAATAATGATTTTTAAAAGTAAAATAATAAACTAACTGAACATAAAACCAAGATCTTAGAAAGCAAACAAAAAGAACAAATCTTCAAGAAAGTAGAAGGAATGGTAAAAGAATGAATGAATTTGATAGAAGGTTAAGTAATAGAACTGATAGGTAAAACCAGGATTCTTTGAATGGACCGAAGGAAGAAAAGAAAAGCAGATGACAAAAACTTATCTCCAGCTAAGGCATTTAAGGCAGGAATAGATTAATCTAATAAATTGTAAGCCCCCCAAAAAGATGGGGATTAATGTTAATTATTAATTATGTTAAGCTCTTTATGAAAAGTTTATATATGTAAATTTTAAAAAATAACATGTATATATTTACCTTAGTGTTATTATTAACATTAAAGTATATATAAATTTTTAAGGTACTATGCAACAGACAAAAACAAAGTTTTCTGAATGAGATTATGCATTAAACGGATTTTCTTCTTTTTGCTTCTCCATTGTTCCTTCAGTTTGTTACTTTAGAAATAAGAAAAAAAGTAAATTTTAATATAACAACTTATTTTGTATGCAGGGAGAAGGGGTTGAAAATACATGCAACTAAACATTGGAAGATATTGTCTCCCAGTGGTTGGACTAGCATGTGTGCATACATGTGTGTCCTTGAATTTTCCAAGTTTAAATGAATGTAACTTTTCAGTTTTTAAAGTAGATTCCCAAAATATAGGTACAATTTGATGTCATTTTAGAAATTCAAATAGCATATTTCTGCATGCAGCTGTTTGCCCTTTTTAAAATTTGCCCTTGCCAGATCTGCAAATATAATTACAGCATAAAGTTACATTTGATGTACAGAATATGTCCTCCTTTAAATCCAAAAACAATTGCGGTGATCTTTTACTCACCACAGAGGACTTTTAAAATTTAAAACATTTTACATAAAACACCTAAAAGACCTTTGCATGATTCATTCTTCACATTTCTAAGTTGTTTATATCATTCACAATACTCATTCTTGACTACATACCATGAAAGGCTTTGATTTAGTTCTTTCTAGATTAGTATTTATTTCTCAGTTCTCTGGTCACTTTAGCCATTACTTCATAATGATGTCACAACAGAAATGCTGAATAAGTAAATTCATCCAGCCACTACTTGGACTAAAAATAATAGCCAAGCATTATTTTAAATTCTGTGTTAAGTATGAGTCTCAAAATGCATTTTTAATCCCTTTATCAAGGTGCA